AAAAAAAAAAAAAAAAACAAACCCCTTGAAATCTCTATTCAAGTTTAGGAACACCAGAAAAGACAATTGTGGCAGGAATTTAAGCATGGCATTGCCTTCAGTGTTAATACTTCCCATGGCCAGTCTGTAACTCTCAGAGATTACAAATGATAAGTTAATGTGAAGTATTTAAACTTGTGTACAGAATTCCTTTCTTTTATATCTGCCTTCTCTTTCAGCCCTTTATAATATCATTTTATCCCCCTTGCAGAAAGGTCTTATACTAAGGTATCTGTTTATCTGAGCAATTAATGAAACAGAGAATTGTGTGTTTACCAATTTAGTCTTATTTATTTTACTTTGCTTTTTGGGGGGGGCATGTTTAAAACACAACTATGCACCAAAAATTTAACATAACTAATTAGCATTTTACCCAGCAACATAATAATTTTAAAGCCTTTGCAAGAGGTAGTGCAAATAGGAGAGGAAACAAGGTGGGATTTCAGGATAAGTTGGGAGATAGTAAAGACACATTATGTTTTTAGTCTGACAATGTCTTCCTCTGTCTCTGTTTTAAGATAACTATTTCAAAAAACTTTATGGATGGTTTCTTTTCATTCTATTTAGAATTATTAAAATTTTGGAATGAAACCAAAAAATTTTCCAAGTCACGAATTGCTTTTAACATACTTGTCAAAAAAGGAATATGTCAATTTCTTTTAAAGTTATGACATCTTAATTTTATAATCATGTTTAATATATTCTTTATTGGATGGCATTAAACTCAGGCTAATCATGAGTACTCTACAGCTCTTCAAGGCATAGTATTTGTTATAGTCTGTGTCAAGATCAGTAACCAACCCATAGCTTTACTGGTATACCATAGTTATTTAGCTATATGATAGCCTTGGAATTTGGGGACTTGAAAAACGATCTTTAATGTGTACTTTATGTGTACTTAATTAATGAACAAATTCCTTAAACCAAAAATGGAATGGACCTTCAGTATGGCATCATTCTCAAAGGGACTGGATTATTTAAATTAGCAAATGCAAGGGGATTTATTTCTTAGTCATGTTTTTTTCTGAATTTAGTCACTCTCACCCCCCATGTGCTAAAATTTTTTGCTCTTCTTTAGGCGAATATGTTGGTCTTGAGTTTATGGCTTCCACAATTAAAAAATAATTAAAAGTAGTTATAACTATAAATCTTTTGCATAGATCTACAATAATCAAATCACTATTTTATTTATTTTTTCATTTTTTATTTTGTTTACATTCATTTATTTTTGAGAGACAAAGAGAGACAGAGCACAAGTGGTGGATGGGCAGAGAGAGGAGACACAGAATCCGAAGCAGGCTCCAGGCTCTAAGCTGTCAGCACAGAGCCCGACATGGGGCTTGAACTCACAAACCACGAGATCATGACCTGAGCTGAAGTTGGACGCTCAACCGACTGAGTCACCCAGGCGCCCCTCAAATCACTGTTTTAAAAAGTGTTCCAAAATGAAGACTACAGCTCACTTTCACATAAAACCTAAGATTCCTTTGTGTAGCCATTTACAATATTTTTTTAGTAAGAAAGTTTGGGATTTTCCAAGTGGCTGCTATCTTATCAAAAGGATTTCAAATACTGGATATAGTTGGTTTCTTAACAGCCTTGAGAATGATTAAACTATTTTTCTCTTTTCATACAAGACTGATAAGCTTATTGCAGTAGATAACAGTTCCTATGCAAATTTCAATTTGGTTTTTGTATCTGAGATAAGAACAGGAAAATAAAATTGAGTGAATGAATTAGATTTGGAATGCTTTATATACTCTAGTCTCCTTAAACCATTTTTGGAATAAAATGTGTGTAAACAATCAGACAAATATAGCTTGAATTCCTGATTCAGTGGGTTGGGGGGTAGAAAGAAATTATTTTTCAAGTAGTAGTGGATATAATGCAAATTTAAGTTGTTCTTCAGGATGGAAACTACAACATTCACCCTTAGCAGATACTATAGTTGGGAAAAAAACGCTTTAAAATGAGGCAAAGATAAATATACTTTTTATTTCTAAGGGTCAGTACTTGGTAAATTCATTAACATCAAATAAATCTTTGGGTAAACTGATAAATAGCTTGCATATCAGCATTGATTTGAAACACCATTATATTGAGGTGGTAACTTAGAGAACTTGCACCTTGAATTATTCTGTGTACAACTGAACTAAGTGTTTAGAATAATTTAACATAGTACAAGGATTAAGCAATAGAAATTAGTGTTAGCAACGGAGTAAACTTAATAAAAGTCCATTCCAAAGTAATCAATTTCTAAAAGTCTAAAAAACACGACACTAATAACCAAGAAATGTGGACTTTTCACGCTTATATACATGATAATTATACATGATAATGTATAGTTAGTGCAGTAGTAGTACGTCCTCTTAGATGTCTATATCCAAGATAAAACTCTTCTTAGGATTCTAACTTGTAAAACAAAAACTACCTTTGTAGAGCTAGTGGTCATACACAAGGAATGTATAAATAAAGAATTAAAAGCCTCCAAAGTAAAACATGGACCAATATATGAAGGAATTTTGAGAGAAGCAGTACAGGTGAAAGAAATAGTATAAACACAAAGGCACTTCCATTTTGAGCCACAGGATGTCGTTGTTCTCCAAGAAGAGGATTATTTTAACAGAAAAAAATTACCATTATTCACGGACCAGAAAGAATCTCCAGTGTTCCGGTGTTTTAAAGACTATACACACCCATGTTGTTAAGATCCAGTAGAGATCTCAGGAACAGACTCAAAAGAAAGATCTAAAAGGACGACACATTTCCTCTCATGAAACGTTGATTTACTAACCTGAAACAGAGCAGGATGTTAGCTTCAGGATCAGGTGGCCAGGAAGTCAAGCGCTTGCTGCTCTCGGTTATGCTCCTTGCAGCGTCGGAGGCCGAGAGCGGCCAAGTCCATTACTCTGTCCCGGAGGAAGCCAAACACGGCACCTTCGTGGGCCGCATCGCGCAGGACCTGGGGCTGGAGCTGGAAGAGCTGGTGCCGCGCTTTTTCCGAGTGGCGTCCAAAGGTCGCGGGGATCTTCTGGAGGTAAATCTGCAGAATGGTATTTTGTTTGTGAATTCTCGGATCGACCGCGAGGAGCTGTGTGGGCGGAGCGCGGAATGCAGCATCCACCTGGAGGTGATCGTGGACAGGCCGCTGCAGGTTTTCCATGTGGAGGTGGAGGTGAAGGACATTAACGACAACCCGCCAATGTTCCCAGCGACACAAAAAAATTTGTTTATTTCTGAAACTAGGGCTCTCCACTCTCATTTTTCACTAGAGGGCGCGTATGATGCAGATATCGGGGCCAACGCTCTGCTGACTTACAAACTGAGCCCCAACGAATATTTCTCTCTGGAAGTACCCACCAACGAGGAACAGGTAAAACCGCTCGAACTAGTACTAAAAAAATCTTTAGACAGGGAAGTCGCTTCAAAGCTTCTCTTGGTGCTCAAAGCAACTGATGGGGGCAAACCTGAGCTGACAGGTACCACAGAGTTACACATCACAGTGCTGGATGCAAATGACAACGCCCCAGTATTTGACAAAGCAGTCCATCGTGTAAAATTAGTGGAGAATTCAAGAAACGGTACTCTGGTTATTAGACTTAATGCCTCGGATTTGGATGAAGGTTCCAACAGTCACATTCTTTATTCATTTGCAACTGATGTCTCCTCTAATACAGAAGCCTCTTTTCACATAGATTCAGAGAGTGGAGAAATAAAAGTAAACGGAAAAATAGATTTTGAAGAAACTAAATTATGGAAACTTCAAATAGAAGCAGTTGACAGAGGAAATCCTCCGATGTTTGGTCACTGCACAATCTTGATAGAAGTCTTGGATATTAACGATAATGCTCCGGAGTTGCTAGTGACTTCACTATCGCTGTCTGTTCCAGAGGATGCTCCACTGGGGACCGTCATCGCCCTAATCAGTGTAACTGACCGTGACGCTGGTGGCAACGGGCAAGTTACCTGCTCACTAACACCCCATGTCCCCTTCAAGCTGGTGTCCACCTTCAAGAATTACTATTCGCTGGTGCTGGACAGCGCCCTGGACCGCGAGAGCGTGTCGGACTATGCTGTAGTGGTGACCGCACGGGACGGGGGCTCGCCTTCGCTGTCGGC